ATCTCGTCGATTTCTCTCCTTCCACGGAAAATCGTTATAAGAACGGGAAGAACTTTGATCGTCAATGCAATGTGCTCTCGTTGACGGTGCTAGAAAATCATACTTATTTACACATCGTTGAAATATCTCCGAGCATTATTATCACGTCATCGCGCGCATCTCTCATTTATGTTGAGGAAGAAGGGTTGAAAATACGTCTCGCTTCCAAAGTGTTTCGAGATAAACTTGTGAATTTCGTTTCAGCTCGGTTTCTCTCTCTCTCTCTCTCTCTCTCTCTCTTTCTCACATTCTCTTTCTACGGATCCTACGACAGGGGTGACATCAAATATGTTGCCGAGGGCTTACATTCTCTAATGAGTTGAATCGTGGTAAGAGCGAGACACCTCTTTCTCTTTCACTCTCTCTCTCTCTCTCTCTCTCTCTCTCTCTCTTTGGTTCTCGAGAGTCGAATTCATTACGTACGATGTTAGGAGGTAGCGTTTGAATTAGCGAGAACAGCTACTACACACCAATGCCGTCGTACGACTCATTATCGCACCAGTCTTGGAACTTTGTCCCCTTTTTCGCGCATAAATTGCAAAGTTTATGGAACGCATTTGTCCCCCTTCTTCTTACATTCACTTTTTCTTTTTTCCTTCTATTTTTATGTATTTCATTTTTGATTTCGAGTCAGATGTTATTGACACGTTGTAAGAAATCTTTGAAACTAAAGATAGTAGAAATAAAGATAATTAGGTTTTCAATTTTACGAAATAATTTTAGAAAAATTTAGATAGAAAAATAAAGGTAAAATTGTCTAAATTTGTTGAATTTATTTGATTATTTATTTTAAATGTAAATAAGGTTTATTAAAAATAAATTATACATTTTGTTTCTATTTAGTTTTTGACTTTAAATTCGTTGATTGATATTATCGACACTCGATTTATATATCTTGTCGCACGATTTGAAGTAAAAAGAAAAAAACATTTAAACAGAATTAAAAATATATTCTCTATTTGTAAAAAAACAAAAACATCGAACGAAAGATAGGAACGAAAACAAAGTTATGTTTTTTCAATCCGTAAAACAATATACGTAGTATTTGTTCTTTATTGTAAATCGATCTCTGGAGCAATTAAAAGGTATAAAACTTGAGGTTAACGAGTACGCGACCACAGAGCAAGACAGAAGAATTTGTACTTGAGCAGAAATACGAGTAGTGGGCATCTCATCACCTTTCTCCCCGTATGACAATAAACCTCGAAGTATCTCGGTGCGACGGGTCCGAACACGAATTCGGCTAACCGCAACTTCTCTTCTAACTTTTTTTTCTTCTTCTGAAAAAAAAAAATGAGAAAGAGCCAAAAAGATAGAAAGAAAGCAAAAAAAGAGAGAGACGGATAGAGTGAATGAAAAAAAAATAGAAAAAGGGAGAGAGAGAGAAAAAGACTGGTTCGCGTCCAGAGATACAAGTACCTCGTCGTCGTCATCGTCGTCGTCCTCCTAACAGAACAAAAGGTACAAAAGCGTAAAGATAATAGACGTCAGGGATTCAACCAATAAGAAGAAAAGAAAAGAGAAGAGAAGAAGCTACAGTAGCGCCGACCTTAGAATCGAGCGCCGACCTTAGAATCGAGCGCCATCGTTTACGACGAAATAAGAATCCGACAAAATTATCTAACCGAACAATGTGCTCTTTCAGAAAAGAAAAGAAGAAGAAGAAGAAGAAGAAGAAGTACTTACCTACCCTTGTCGTTGGTCGGAGATGAAAGATAATTAACCGACGAATCGACTTCACCATCACAAGGGTAAGTTCGATTGCCTTTGACGAGACGTTCGTTTCTTAATTCGATTTCCTGTTTCATCTTCCTTCCAACTCGAGACTTTTTGTTGATAAAAGGGAAAATGTTTTCAAGTTTACCACTTTGTGTCTTAACTCGTAGTATCGATACGCTACGAAGATAATAAGTTTTATTGTTTTTATTTTTTTATTTTTTGTAATTACAGAAATGGTAAGAGTGGGGTAGAAGTTTTAGAAGAAAAGAAAAATAAAAGACAGAAAGAAAAAAGAATAATTGATGTTTGGATAATATATATATATATATATATATATATATATATATATCCTATATAAAAACACAGATATACATTCGCTAGGAATAATCTCAACGGATTCGTGGCACGCGATGCGACGGGCGTTACGAGACTACCATAACCATTAACAAATCTTGTAGCTACGCACAAAATAAAGTACTCTCGTGAATTGGCCGTTTGATTCGAATAGCCTACGGGAGTTTTATGGGGAAAAAGAAAGAGAGAGAGAGAGATGGCATCGAACCGGTGGCTGGATGGTCGGATGGATGAATGGCTGACTAGCTAGCTAGCTGGATGGATAGATGGATGGTCGGGTGGATGGACGATTTTATTCGAAGGGTCGGTTTTGCTTGACGTTCGTTCGTTCATTCGTTCGTTCGTATGTTCGTACGTTCGTTCGTTTGCTAGCTCGTGCCAAGCAGACATTGTCAGCCCCCGAAGCAATACACGATGTTCGAATGGTTTACGATCGAGAAGGGGGAAAAGCACACTTTACTCCTCTATAACTCGTATTATGATCTCGAGGCGTGTAACGCGATACCAAAGTGTTTTGGTGCGCCGGAGCGTGCGTAAAGCCGCAACGCTACGGAAAGTAGAATACTGCCTCCTAGTGGTTTATATGTGCCAAAGGGTAAATCGAAACAGGTCTTTGCTAGAACGAACACTACCCTTTGTCAATAAGTTTCTTTCTGAGCGTTATTATCGTGTACGGATTAAAGGAGTTCATCTAACAAAACATGGAGTTGTCTTGTTTTAATGAAAACAACAAGACTTCTTTGTTCCTGTTAAATCGATACGCTTCAAAATTAATGAACATTATAATTAAAGTTTTTGTTTTATGCTTCCTATTACAAATTGGATAATTTTTTACATAAATTAAGTTCAATCATCAAATTATTCATAATGTAACTGAGTAAAGTAAATGATCGTAGAGACCGTTCTTATGTTTAAATAATTTTTATTCATAATAAAATATAAAAAATCTTTTTAAGAACTTATTTATAGACATAGGTTGGTGTTATAAAAGAACTAAAAGACACAGGTACCTACTTCCAACATAAAGAGAATCTACTGTGTATGGCGTAGCAAGTTGGATTCGTATATGCGACGGCTTTTAGGTGAAAGGCGCCACCCTTCAACGTCGAACTACCAGCTTGAAGGGGCTGTTGGTCCGACAGAAGCCAAGGAAAGGCGTGTCGGGTTACGGACTAACCCTGGGGATAACCGCCAGCCCCACCTAAGCCCATAAGCGTAGACGTATTTACTTCCCTTTCTCTCTCTATCTCTATCTATCTCTATTTTTCTTTCTTTCTCTCTCTCTCTCTCTCTCTTTCTCTCTCTCTCTCTCTCTCTTCAACCCTTTCAATGTATCTTTACGCAAAGGTCGTGACTTCAAGTCGCAGGATCGCGAAGGAAATCGCGTCCTACTAAATACGTCTCGTTTTACACGCTCGATCAGTTTGACCCTATTCAACCCTTTCTTACCTTCTTAACTTCGTTTAGTATTACCATTCGAAAAATCTCGAATTCTAAGGTATTTTTTTTGTAATACAGTGCGGTACTCATTATTTTTCCATTTTTTCATTATCAATCAAAATAATTAATGATACTTTCACGAAGAAAAAAATCACCTGGATGTGCATAGATCGAAGATATAATAAAAGAAGGAAAATAAATAGAAAGAGTTTTACGAATTATTTGTTAAGTTTATGTCAACCATTGAAATTGGTTCTTTTGTCTTGGGAATAATATTTGCAATTTGATTTTTTATCTACGACGAAACATTCGAGAAAGAGAGAGCAAAATCCTTGTATCTGCTTTTAGCCGGACTCTGAAAATTCGTCAAAGAAGATGATGCGTCGTCGTTCGAGCGTAACTAGATCGAAATCCTCTAGGACTATATTCCACATGCCTCTACGAAATTGACGTTAACTATCGCCGACAGCGTAAGAGGCAAAGAGAACGTATGTATTTAAACTTATCCTAATAAGAATCCATTAGCGAAATGGGTGAAGTGCTAATACGCGTTAAGTATTTGTCTCGCAAAACATTGGAGTCTTGTTCATTCAAGCATTCAATAAGGAAAATAACCATGATAAAATATCGGAAATTCGAGACTCATTAGTCGGGACGATTAACTATTATTATACTAGTTTAATCGTTCAAGGTAATTATATTTTTCGTAAATTTATTCAAAATTATCCATCCATACCTTTTTACATTTATATTCCGTTCTTTTTTTTATTCGTTATTTTCATCTTATTAGATCGGTCATCGCAAGGATGGTTTAAATCTTTAATAAGCATGATTGGCATCGTATATCATGAAATAGCAATTAATCAAATAATGTTGCAATAACTTATCGCGATTTTACTTTTAATCCATCTTGTTTTCTTATGCATTTACTTTGTTTTGCTTAAGACATATAACAAAGGTAATAAGTATAGAAAGAAATTATTTAAATTGAAATAGGGAGAAGTCATAGATTATGTTTATAAATGTTACAAAATAATTCCTCTTCTACTATATTATAAAAAAATAAATAATAAATGATTTATATCTTTACAGTCATATAAAAGGATCAACAATAAAACAGAATTATTCTACAAACTCAAAATTAAAAAGAAATATAGAAATACGTAAGAAAAAAAGGAAAAACATATAGTAAAAAAACAAATGCAAAATAATAAATTTTACAAAATAAATTATTTTTACAATGTTTAAAAAGTAATAATGTTTAATATGACGAAGATAATAATTACTATACGATGTAATATTAAAAAGTTATAGAAAAAAATAAATATTTACAGAAATATTCTTATAAAGAAAGAAAGAAAGAAAGAAAAATGGAAAATCTTATGAAGAGGAAAAGGTCAGAAAGAAAGAGGTAAAGCATTAATCTTTGGAATGGTAATTTGACCGACCTTTGTGCGGCATCTTCCAGAAGGGCGGCTCGGGGGTGGACGAGCAAGGGTTAGCCACCCCCGCGCCTAACAGGGTCCTTGCTGCGTGCAGCGCCGCCGCCGCCGCTTCCCTGCTTCTCACAGCCGCTACACTCGACGGATAATCCGAAGGGCTATCGCCTCCTCCTCCTCCTCCTCCTCCTCCTCCTCCTCCACCACCAATTCCGCCGCCGCCGATTCCTCCGCCTTCTCCTCCCCCGCCTCCTCCTCCTCCTCCGCTTCCTCCTCCTCCTCCACTGGTACCAGTGCTTCCGCTGGTGCTACCGCTGCAAGGACGAAGATGCAGACTCAGCCGACTGCCTCCTCCTCCACTACCACCCCCGTCTCCTCCACCACCACCGCCGCCACCACCGGCCACGCTAACACAGTGCTGAAATCAGTCAAAACGTCATCGTTATACAACTTTTTCTTTTTTCTTTGTTTTTTATTTTATTTCCTTTTCAGGAATACATATCATGTTTTTCGACTGACTCAACATTGAAATTTGTGTTTCTCTATTTTTCCTCTTTTCTCATTCGCGAACAGGTTTCGAAAGTTTTCCTACAACACTTGAATAATCGACACCTAGAAGATTCTTTTTCACCCTTTTAAGGTCTTTATTTCCTGACGCTTGTTTATTTTTTATTCTTTTTTTTTTTTTTTTTTAACTAAAAGTATAGTTTCATCGATAAAATAAATAGTATCATTTAATTTTATTTAATAAATGTTTAAAACAAATACTCGATATTTGATACGACCAATCGATGCATTTAATTATATTATCAAAATAATTTAACTTTTATAATCGATAAAATTAACTTTTACCTAGTACCGATTAACCTTTAACATGAAATTCACGTTCCAAATATTTTGTAAAATTTTACGTAACTATCAATAAATTTCTGTTATTATTTCCTGTTGAATACAATACGAATTACATTTTTTAATAACGTTTCAAGATATTGATAAAAATTTTTTTTTTTTAATATTTTCTTTTTTTCTTATATTCTTCTTTTAATCTAATTTTTAGAAAGCAGCAGTAAGAACTAATAAAACTAAGCTCACGGTTATAAAGTTATATAATGAGATATCAACAGTTACACAAGTTTCGATAAGATATACAAATATATTAAAATCTATCTTACTGAATTTTATAAATATATCTATAAATGGTATTAGTAAAATACTTACATCGAAAAAAAAAACTATACATTCGCATAAAGATACCTATGTACTTTTCTCTACGTTTATTGAAGCTTTAACAACTTACAATAGTACGTTGCTATCCGTCGAGGATTGCTTCGGCTATCAACGGCGAGTGCTTTCGAAAAAATAGAAGAGAACGTACTCGAAATTGTTAAAATGCATTTAAAATAGTTCGTTCGAGCGAGCGAAGAGAAGCCGACGGAATGGGAACGGGAAAACCGAATACGATGCGTTCGTACGCTCGCACACGTATTGTACTCCGAAGTCCGAAACGACAGATTAAAACTATTTCTCTCGAATTTCGTGTTGCACGAGCATCGGCCGCTAGGTGTACACGACGAAAACACGATTGACTTTTATACAGTTCCACGCTCTTCAACTCTCTCTCTCTCTTTCTCTCTCTCTCTCTCTCTCTTTCTCTCTCCCTCTCTCTCTCTCTCTCTTTCTCTCTCTATTTTACGCTCGTACATACAAACAGCGCGGCTTCAAAGAACATAATTCAGGGGATTATCGTCCGCGAAATGGGGTAAATATTAGCACCATCGAAACCGTACCTTCCACCAAAAGCAAATTTCAAAGTGCACCAAAAAATAAATACGCTCACCGAGCGACAAATAATAAACATCGGCCGCGTCTACGGTAAATTTTCCCTATTTTTACAAGCCTGATTACGTTTCTAAGTCGATTTTCAACGGTTTAGCAAGTGGTGTATTAATGAAAAATCAAATGAAAGTACGCGGAAGAAAAATTCGTTACATTTACAGTATTTGAATCGAATTACTGATATTATTTTCATCTTAAGATTTATTACAAGATAAACCTTGAACCAAATATGAACACACGACACTTTTACCAGAGTTAGAAATGTCAAGTAATAATATTTTCACGAGATTGAGGCTAATAATAATGTTGATAAAGTTTCATTACTCTTGCGAGAGTCTAAAGGATTAAGAACTGAAAGCTCACATCGGAATGGAATCCTCTTTTCACTTTTCTATCTTTCTCATTCTTTCTTTCTCTCGTTCTCTATCTCTCTTGATAATCGAGATAAAGTTTGGTGCGAGTCGGCGAGCTTCTACATCCATGTAAGAGCATTCCAATGTCGTTTTCGTTTGCGCGTTGTTAATCGCCCCCAGCCGTTATGAGAAACATTAATTATCATTCACTACGCGGCTCTTAGATCATTAGCCCCTTTCATCTCAGTCGCGAACGAAGAATTCTAACGTAATCGTCGAGAGAAGCGCGAACTTCAAACACGTGCTGAACGATCAAAAAAAAAATGATATGTTATGTACCAACGACAAATGCTTGTGCTGCTGTTTCTTCCATTCAAAACTTTCTTCCTAACGATAAAAATCAATTTCTTTTACTTTTGTTTATTTGTTTTATTTTTCTTCTTTTAAATTAGGAATATATTCAAAGTTCAGATTAATTTCTTTTATTCTTCCTTAAAAACTTTTAATTCTTGCAATATGTCCAATTGTGAAAGTTAGATAAATTATTTTAACGATTTGATAAATTTTAAAACAATAGTGATATTTGTATCGAGAAACATCGACGATATTTATCGATGAAATTAATTTCATATTTTTCTCCCTGAAATATATTGATATTATTAAATGAATTATTGAAAATATATATATATATATATATATATTATCTTCTGATTTTTAAATTGAGAATAAATATTTTTTTTCTAGTATTTATTAAAATAAGTAGAGATGATTTTAATGCATGCACAATTATGCAAACTTTGAATAATATCCGTGAAGATTGTATATAAACGTTAATAACATCGGAATCCAATCGCTTTACCTATTGATCTCGCGAACACGATTAAGAGAATTCAATCGAGCGAAAAAAAATTTTAATCCAACCGCACGTATCGTTTTATCAGAAATAGCGTGAAGATAGTCCATCTCTCACTCTCTCATTTTTTCTGTACCTATACATACTTTATACGGTATACATATATAGATAAATAAATTGTGAATAAATACGATATTTCTTTTAACAAAGTTGTGATAAAAGCAAATAAGCGATGATAGATCGGTTAACGTCATTACAGACAAAATTATAAAACAAATGTCTCACAAAAAATTAATATGCGACTGTTTATTTTTTCGAAAGGACGAAATTTACAAAATCGTTAAATATACTCTTTAATGTAAAACTATCACACACAATTTCTACCACAGTTCAACAATATATATATATATATATAATATTTACACGTAAAGCTTATTTTTACTTAACCGTGGTATTTTTTTTCTGTAGGTAATCAAACATAGATCGAATACTGTTTATAGCACTGTAAGTAATTACTTGTCGAATTCGATTGATAAGCGATCGTTTTATTTAACGTCGCGTATTTAGAGAGAAAAAGAGAGAGAGAGAGAGAGAGAGGGAAAAGGCAAATTGAAAACACGCTGAAACTTTTTTCGTTAATATCATCGAATATCCATAACAAGGTAAATAAATTCAACCAATGCTTTTGATCAAAATTTCGACGTGGAAAATATATAAATATCAATCGTTTAAATCCGACATAAAAACAATAATTAAGTTTTTCACTAGATATCATTAAATGCTACATCATGAAAGAGAATATTATTGTCTCGAGAATTTAATGATTGCCGTATAAGACAGTTGAAATCGTAACGAAATTATTATTCCGCAGGTATCTAACACGACAAAAACGACAAGAAATTGCACGCGAAGGAAATCACAAAAACAAACCGACTCCGAATCTTCTTTCCGTAATGATGCCAGTAGTGTTACCTTTCATTCAAACCAGATACCTACTTCCTTTCCTGAAATTCTTCCGTTAAAGTACGGAAGACTTACCTAATCTCGAATCTCGTTAGGCGTTTGATTAACAAACTAGATTAACCGATTTCTTGTTTCAATTTTTCTTGAAAAAATAACGAACATTGAATCATATTGAAACTAGTTATTTTAAAATACAAAAGGTAGATTTATAAGGGTGATAATAATTAAACTAATTTAAAAAGAGAAATCTCTTAAACTGACATCAGCGTGAAACAGGCGGTACCTTGTCACGGAAGTATCTTAATAAAATTAACGGATTAAATGGACGTAAAGAGAGAACCAGTCGTCAGTATTGTAGAAAGAAGTAGGTAGGTACACAAGATCGGCAAACAATTTGGTTTTTCAAGATTCTTACAAATCTTGTCCTTTTTAGTCCTTAAGTACGACAAAAGGCTTCTCTTGGATTCTATGAGGACAGCATAAGATTTCTTTGTCAAGCGCTACGGGTTTACATCTGTTATTTTCCAAGATTGTATCGTTTTTTTTTAAAGAACGAGACCTTTCTACTTTTCTTACTTATATAAATGAACTTATATTTTTAAGAACTTAAAAAAACTGTCTCTATAATAAAAATACAAAGACTGAGATTATCCGCCAAAATTGAATGCAAAGGAAAATAATTCGAGAAAATTTTTAATACTTTATTTTTTTCGATGTTGAACAAAATATTTTTCTACATTTTTTCTTTTTTTTTTTTAATCCAGCTAAACTATTATAATTATTTTAAATTGCACGTATAAATAGTTCCTTTCTGAAAAGCTTTTCTCCTCTCACAGCGTTCTCGATCGGAACGATTAAAAAAAAAAGCCTCGTTCAACGTTCTTTCGGGAGAACGGAGGATTTTATTTTTCCAGCTTGTAGTGTGCTATACACCATATTTATGCATAAAAATAACGCCGATATTAATTGAGCTGACAAGTGGATGTGTGCGTACACGCGGAACGTGCACGTGTTCGCAAAACGCTTTTCTGATAAAACTTTGAGGAAGCATTGCACCGTATTATTTCATCATCCCTCTCCATTATATAAGCACGATGAAAGCGTATCTCGTTCAATCGACACCAGTTTTTCCACGATCATAACGTGACGCGTAAA